CTGAATGCGAAATGGCTCACAACTTCTGCGAGCACTGTAACCACCAGGATGTTCTGAGGAGGATAGAGAGTCCTTGAGAACTTTTCCAGTGTTCAAGTTGGGCTGCAGGCAGTTAGACTCCCAGACTGAATGGATACATGGTATGCTGTCATTCATCCCAACCCCTCTGTTTAGCATAAGCTGAGTTGCAGCCGTTTCCCCTTTTCCAGAGCGAATATTCTCGTATCAACTAACAAAGCTGAAAGAGGAGACTGCCGGATGGGCTCAGGCACTTCCCTCCCTGAGATGGAGAGAGGTCACACATCGTGCACCTGTGCAGTGCTGGCCCACAGAGCCAAGCTCCTCAGCACGGTGCTGGCATCTCACATCTCACTCTTGGTGGCATCATATGTATGCTTCATGTGCTGAGGTGAAACATTCAGATTTACTTGTGTGAGAGATGAGTGCAGGAAATAAGGAGCACTGACCTCATCTTTTTACTTACAGGCAGCTGCTTTGCTCTGTGCACTGGAATAATGTGACATGATTTAAAATAATTTAATGCATCGCCGTAGTCATTGCTTTCATGTCAGTCAGTGGAATTACCCACGATGGTAACTGTTGTGCAATAAATACTTGCAGGGGCAGTTCAGAAGCCTGATCCTACAAATCTTATTTACAAGCATTAACCTACTGATTCATTGCCACTACAAGTAAGGCACACTCACATCATCATAAATATTTTCAGGACGGCCTTAATACATGTATTTTCACACAGAGGGTGGTGACACACTGGAACAGGTTGCCCAAGGAGGCTGTGGATGCCCCATCCCTGGAGGCATTCAAGGCCAGGCTGGATGTGGCTCTGGGCAGCCTGCTCTGGTGACTAGTGACCCTGCACATAGCAGAGGGGTTGAAACTTGACGATCATTGTGGTCCTTTTCAACCCAGGCCATTCTGTGATTCTATGATTAAATTCATTTGGGTGTGAGAGGGAGGAAATGACCCACTGAGTAATGCCAGGCTAAGCCCACTGAGTACCTAATGGCATTCGCCAAGATTTTCATGCAGCAGAAGGGTGGCTAAGAAGAGGTCGGGGATGTTTTCCTAAGAGGTTGCACAGTCAGGGTCTGTGGCCAGTTCTCTGGGTTGTGCTTACACAGCATGCACTTGCTGTTACGGTCTGCGGCTCTTTAACAAAATGTTTTGTCCCTTTCCTCGGTCACGTTTACTCTCTCCCCGCAGAAATCCAACCTATTTTGCACCAGCGTCCCCCCTGCCCGTTTGCCTGCAGAGGGTTTCCTTTTCAGCACGGACTCACAGAGCACTCAGGCTCTCAGTCTCCCTTTGCAATTCGGTGTGTAGAAAATTCATCCCAAAGATGTTGCTCCCCATCTCCAATTTCCGAAGCTTTTGCTTAACCATATGACATAAAAACTTCGGTGCTTTGTGGTCTGTGCACCCCGCATGACAGAGGCAACGCGTGGCAGATAGAGATTCCGTTGCGGTTTGCTTATGGCTATAAAAAACTGCTGTCAGCATCCAAATAGAAGCGGTGCTGCATGCGAACGGGTCAAGCTCTGACTCCAGTTGCGATTCACGCTTCAAAGGGATGCTGGCACAAAGGAGCGGCTGTCCGAGCGTGAGCCGGGGCGTCGGGCACGCTAAAAGCCGCAGCGGGAGGGAGGAACACTGACTTCCAGTGCCGTCCCTCGCTGCCTTCCTTTGCCTAATAATCGTGGGTGCTCCCGCTGCTTCACTCAGCAGTTCTCCCAAAGTGCACCCAAAGCACGGCAATAGGGGACGGCAAACCCCTGCAAGAGTCCCTCCCTTTGACATGTAAAACTAAATCCAGGCTGGATGTGGCTCTGGGCAGCATGGTCTGGTGGTTGGCAACCCTGCACACAGCAGGGGGGTTGAAATAGATGATCACTGTGGTACTTTTCAACCCAGGCCATTCTATGATTCTATGAAAATTATAAGGAAAGCGGTAGATTGTGCTGGCTAAAAGCATTCAGAACCCCCCCCGTGTGCGGTCGGTGCTAACGGATAGGTACAATTCACTGCTCGACCTGTAGGAACACCGTCACCTGCTGCCAGGATCAGCCCTTCAGCCGGCCTCCATGCTGGTGCCCGGTAATAGGGAGCGGGAAGCGTGGCGTATTTTGCCCGACTTCTGTTAAATAGCGGCGTTTTGTATCTTTTTTTCTGGTCGTTCGCGCGTGTTTATTTTGCCTTTCTGTGAACTGGGTTTAGTTTGCGCTTATACAGAGGAGTTGAGGTGAAGAGAGGGTGCTATCCATCCACCGGAGTTCATTGAAATATAGAAAGCTGCTTCGTGGCTGGGAGAGGAGAAACAGAAAAAAAGAAAGAAAGAAAGAAAGAAAGAAAGAAAGAAAGAAAAGACAAAAAGAAAAAAAAAAGAAAACTCAAACGCTCTGTGCGCATTTTAACGTGTTACGCGATGGGCGCACATAGCTAACAGAGCCGCTGTGATCTCGGTAATGGCCGTAAAAAGCGACCGGCCACAGGTGGCTTTAAGCTGTGCTGTAACAGCGCTTCGCCTGTGTAGTTGTTTTGTTGTTTTGTATTTTTTCCTCTTCCTTCAAAAACATCTCCACGGCAATTTTAATTCGGGATAGGTTCATATAAAGAACAACGCGACAGGGAGAGACAGGGAGAGTGAAACAGCCGTGCGGGACGGGTTTATAGAGAACGAACAGCACGGGCGGGCACAGACACACCACGGCTAGGAGGTGCCGCGGTCAGCGGGTACCACGGACCCGGTGTTCGAGCGGAAGCCGCCGGATCGGGTCGCACGGAGCCGGTGTTTTCCCTTCTGCACGCTGTCCTACCCCGCAGCAGAACCCGGCACTTCTCCCACCCCGCACAGTTTCCAGGCGGCCGCCGGCTCTGCCCTCCCCCCGTCCTCCCCGCGGCGGCGCCCGTCCCGCAGCCGCTCCCCGGAGCTCCTCCGCGGCCGTCGGAGCGCCGTCGGCGGGCGGCGCGCCCCCTCTGCCGGCCCCGCGGTGGAGCTGCAGCGGCGGTCGTCCTGGGGCTCGGCGCCCGCCTCCCCGCCGCCGGGCCCGAGGGGGTCCCCGCTCGCCGCGGCTGTTGAGTGCGGGCCCCGAGGCGACCGCGGGGAGGGGGTCGCCGGGGGTGGGAAATGAGGCGGAGGAACCGCAGGGGCGCGGCTCGGCTCTCGGGACGGGGAACTCCAGCACCAACACTGAAAAAAAAAAAAAAAGGAGGGAGCCCAAATCCAGCCCGCACGGGCAGCCACGCCTCCACCCGGCACACCGCCGCCGGCCCCGCTGCTGCCCGCCGCGTGCGGGAAGCCCGGCCGCGGCGGCTCCCTCGGGGACCTCCAGCCCCGCGCTGCGGGACCGCCCCGGGGCGGCCGGGCCGGCGCTCGAGGCTCAGCCCTCGGCGGACGAACCGCGTCCCGAGCGGCAACCGCAGCCGCACGCGGAACCGCTGCCCGCACAGTAGCGGCGGCGGCGGCGGGCGCGCCAATTCCAGGAGCCCCTGGCCCGCGGCCGCGCCCTGGCTGCTCCCGGAAAGGGCTGTGATTGGCCGGCGCCCTCCCCGTATGCAAAGCAGCCGGGGGGATGACATTCCTCCGCACTCCGCCCGCCGCAGCCGACGCGCTGCCGGCCGCCTCCATTCATCCCAGCGGCGGCGGGCGCCGAGCGGAGCGCCGAGGGGAGCGCGGCGGGGCCCTGCGCGGTGTGCGGCCGGCGGGCGGGCGGGCAGGAAGGCGGTTCTCCCGTGAAGACCCGAGGGCTGCGCGCCGTGGAAATGTCTTCTTCTCCGCGCGGCCGTCCGGGCTGGAGGCTGTGAGCGCCGAGCCCGGCTGGGAACTTTGCGTTTGGTCATCCCCGCTTTTCGCTGTCTGCGCGGCGTCCCGCCCCCCCCTGCCCCCCGTCACCCGTTTGGCGGAAGGGAAACTCGCAGCGACTCGACGCGGGGCTGTTGGAAACGGAGCTGAGCGCTGCCGGCTGGCTGCGGGGTGCCCGCGCGGCTCTGCGTGGCTCTGGGCGGGTTCTGCGCGCTGTTCTCCCCCCGACCCCCGTGCTGCAGGCGGCGGAGGGAAGAGCCATGCTGCCCGAGGCGGGGCTCCACCTGCTGCGGTTGACATCGTGTTAAGCAGCTTCTCCTGCGGCCGAGCGAAAGGAAGACCGCCTCAGATACCGAAGGGGAAAAAAACCAAAAAAACAAAAAACAACAAAACAAAGCAAAACAAAACCAAAAAACCAAAAAACAAAACCAAGTTGGCAACGAGTGACGAAGTTGTTTCAGTGTGGGTTTGAGTGCTGAGGGGAACGGGAGTGAGAGAGAGGGAGCGCTGTGGCGCACGCCGACCGCAGAGCGCCCGCAGCCGCACCGGCACCCGGGGGTGGCCTCAGCCATCGGCCGCGGCTTTACGCAGAGCGCTGTCCCAAAGACAAACCCAAAGAGGGACATCTCAAGCCATGCACTGAGCTTTTCTTTTTATTATTCTTTTTCTTTTTCTTTTGGCGGGAATTATGGCGAGGCCATGAGCCCTCGTAGAGCGACGCGAACTAAATGACCGAAGCTGATTTTCGAGGCTGCTTAAAAAAAAAAAAATCTTAAAAAAAAAAACTAAAAAAAAAAATACCAGCCGGGCCGTAGAGCACTGATGGATCCCCGCCGTGTTTAAAGCCCCGGCGGATCGCGCCGTCAATACTTTATGACGCGCGGTGCGCGTGTGTGCGCGCGTCCGGGGCCGTGCGCGCAGCTGTGCCCGGCGGAACCCTGAGCGCCCCTCGGAGCGCGGCGCGCCCCGTTCGGCCCCGCGGAGCCGCCCCCGCGTCCTGCTACAAACAACCAGCGGGCACAGGCATCCAAACGAGTTGCCCCCGGCTGCCCGACCCGCGCCCGTGTATGTCGCTCTCCAGAGAGCGGCTCGCCGAAGAGTTCCTTTCGTTTCGCTGTTTTGCCCCAAGCCCTCGGAGGTCCCTCACTCAACAGGCTTGTTGTGATGCGTATCCCCGTAGATACCAGCACCAGCCGCCGCTTCACGCCGCCCTCCACCGCGCTGAGCCCGGGGAAGATGAGCGAGCCGCTGCCGCTGCCCGGCGCCGAGCACAGCGGAGCGCTGGCGGGGAAGCTGCGCGCCGCCGACCGCAGCATGGTGGAGGTCCTGGCGGACCACCCCGGGGAACTGGTGCGCACCGACAGCCCCAACTTCCTCTGCTCCGTGCTGCCCACCCACTGGCGCTGCAACAAGACGCTGCCCATCGCCTTCAAGGTACGGCCGCACCGGGGGCGGGCGGGAAGGGCAGGGGACGGGACGGGGAGAAAGAAGGGAAGGGAACGGAAGGGAAAAGAGCTGGGATGGGGAGGGCGGGCAGGAGGCGACCCCGCGGTGGGGAACACGGGGCCGCCGCGCACAGCTCGACCCGACCGACCCGGGGAGCTCTGCCCCAGCCGCTGCCCCGCGGCAGCCGGCACAGAGCCTCTGCGGGAGGAGGGGGGAAAAAGAAAGGACGGAACCCGAGGAGCACCCGAAGCACCGATCTGGGGTGCCAGCGACGGGCGGGCCCTCCAAAAAAAAAAAAAAAAAAAAAAAAAAAATTCAAAACATACTAAAAAAAAAAAGAAAAAAAATATTTCCTTTTTTTCTTTATTTATTTTTTCCTTCGTTTTCTTTCTTTTCTTTCCGTTTTTTCTCCCTTTTCTTTCCTTCTTCCTTTTCTTTCCTTCTTTCTTCCCTTCTTTTCTTCTTTCTTTTCTTCCCTTCTTTCTTTTCTTCTTTCTTTTCTTTCCTTCTTCCTTCTTTTCTTTTCTTCTCTCTGTTTTTTTTTTCCCCTCAACCCCCGCTCGGAGCCCACGCAAAGCCGCGGCACAACGCGGGGCTCCCATCCCGGCTCTCCCCCGTTCCCCCTGCCACCGGGCCGGAATCTACGGGACGGGCGCGGAGTTCAGCGCTTCCCTCCCTCCCAGCCCCGTCCCCACTTCCCGTTACCCGGCTGTAGGCAAAACTCTCCCCCCTCGCTTTGCTCGTTTTCTGCTTTTTGACTTCGGCCTGCCGCAAACTGAGCGGTTTTCGGGCTGCTCCTTACGATCCCCTCGAGGCAGGAGCGCCCCGAAGCTCAGAGTTAGGATGGGGAATCGGCAGAGCTCCGTGGGGCGCTCAGCGCCGGACTCTCCCCCCCGCCCCAGCTCGGTCCCTCGGGCGACTTTTGGGGGCAGGCAACCGGCTCGGCTCCCGGGGCTTCGGGAGCGTTTCCCAAAGTCCGCTCATCGCTGGGAACTCTCCTGGAAGGCAGAGATATGTGGAGCCCCGCCGGAGCCGCTCAGCCGCGGGTGAAGCTCCTCCGAAGAGCCGAAAGCGCTCGTGGCGTGGTTTGCCCTCGGAATACGCAAGGAAAGGAAAGTGAAGGGGAGAAAAAAGTAAAAACCACCAAAACCGGGAGGGCGTTTCCGGACGCGGTAAAGGCACCTGCCCGCCGGGCAGATGGCTTTGTTAAAGTCGCGATTCTTAAGATTATTTGAGTCTGACAGAAAATAGGAAACACAGCTCGTTCCTCTGTGTCTGATGTTCCCATCCGACACAAAAATCGCTGGGTTTTATTATCCCCCATTGCTAACAATCATTGCACTGACATAAAGGAGGCAGAGAGGTTTCTCCTCACGTTTCCTTACACAAATCCTCTTGTTACATTCGATCTGTAGGATTGGGATATTATTTCCAAATGCAACGACCATTTCTATGCACGGTTGGTTTTTTTTTTTTTCCTAAAATAAGGAAGAATTCCAAGAAACTTAGAGAAAAATACGTAACAGCTCTCACAGGGGTGCCATACATATTCCTTGTCCAAACGCTGCTTGGAAATCATCTCAGTCTTCATTAAAAAGGCCGATTTGGTTTGGTCGCTACACCAGCTGTGAGCATTTTGATAGCCGGCGGTGCTGCAGCACTGCTGCTCCCTTCTCTAGAAGCACACGTCTTTTAGGAGCACAGATAACAGCAGCCAGCAAGTCCCGACTTATCTGTTCAGTTGTTTTTTTTTTTTCTAATGTCAATGTTTGTATTTCTGCTTCTATTGTTTATGCCTTTTTACCTCTGGTTTCTTTTCTGTGCTATGCCTTTCTTTTTTATGCTCGTTTCTAATGTTTTCTTCGCGTTTTTTATCTCTGAGGCTGCCTGCAGTGTGATTTGAAAACGGTGCTTCTCAATATTTGTGCTGTAAGAGCCGATGGACGCTGGGTTCGGGAAGGTTTTTATTCCTAAAAATGCTGGCAGGTATTTCCTTGAACAAGCCGGCATCATCTGCATCGCAGGGAGCCGAGGGTGATGCCCACATTTTCCTTTTCCCTTCCTTCTGTCCTTTCTCTACGTGCGTGTATTCAGGTTTTCTGATCACTTCATAAGCGTGCTTCGACTTCACAGCTGCTGCTGGCTTAAGCCAGCCCGCCTCGTTGCACAGCGCTGTGGAAAGAGAAAAGTTTGTTAAACATTTTGAGAGGGGATTGTTGGGCACCAAGATCGGGGCTTTATGAAAGGCACAACGCTGAGGGCAGAGCAGAGAACAGAATAGGCCACAGAGACAGCTTGTGGCACGCGGAGGAGAGGAAAAAACAAAAGCACGAGCCGTGGAGAAGTGGGAAAGAGGAAGCTGAAATACAGACATAAAGCGGGAATTTTGACGCAGTGATTTTAACTTGGTATGTGGAAGTGAAAATAAGGGTGATAGGTGACAGAAGGGAGAGCACTGAAGTGAGAAAAGCAGCCCCCTGCATCAGGAAAAGCTCTAAAATATCTCTCCTTGTCATGCTGGGGGAAATGGTTGCTACTGGAAGGTCAGCATCAGAGACGGACTGAGTAAAGGAGCTGCTGGTCTTGTTTGGAAAGAGCAGTGTGAACAGAAACTAATGCAGCCCAGGCTGCGACTAGCTGGAGCCCATTCTAACTGCATGGACGTAAGCTAGAACACGCTAAGAGGAAGGAAAAATATCAAGCAGCAACTCAGAGAACCTGCTGCAGGACTACTTCCTCCTAGAGTATGTAAAAGAGGAAATAAAAATGAACTAGACTTTTTTCCCCCTCTTTTTTTTTTTTTTTTTTGGTAGTAGTCCTGAGGTCACTCCTGTAGATTTAATTTGGGGAAACAGCTAGAGCAGCGGGTTTGTAAAATGGTGCAACAGAGAACCTATTCTGAGCTGTTACTTTTGCCAGAGTCAATCAAGAGACACACCAGACATGCATTTGATCGTCGCAGGGGAAAACTGCTGTAAGAATTCAGTCTTGCTGAGGAAGATAAGATAAAATTCAACTTTTATTAGTTCAAAAGATGTGAACATTGCAGATACGAGTCAGAAAGCTTAGCGTTCGAAATGCGTACATCTCCCAACATAAGAAATGTGGATGCTGTGTTCCTGAATATTAGTTCAGTAGATACTGACACTGGGATGCTACATTGCAAACCTTTAGGATGAGGTGAAAGCTTCTGAGCTTTTGCAGGTTTCATTTGTTCAGATTGCAGCTTCCACCCATCAGATCGCAGGTGATGTCTTAAGTCAGTGATTTGCTTTCACACACACACACAGTGATTCCCTTTCACAAAGGGAAAAAGGTGTTGTTAAGTTAGTTGTGATTAAGCCCTTGGTTGAGGCCTGTTTCTCTGTGGATTTATTCTGAATTTATATGTTTGTATCAGTGGGATGAACAGAGAGGGAACTGATGCACCTGTGGGCAGCCTGACCCTCTGCATCCACAAGGCAATTGGCTTGGGTTTGTTTTCTTTCAAATTTTACATTTAGATGCTCGTGCTGACTTTACTGTAGCTTAAAAGTAAATCAGATCAGAATTGGTTCCCGTTACTTAAATTTATATGCTGCCAATTACAAAAGTATATTTTGGAAGGCTTTATTTTGTGCTGAGGTGCACATTATGCTTTGCATTTTGGATGCGTGTCAATGTAGCCGTAAGTCGGCATGGTTTTCCCCAAACGATTTGTAGTCTGCATTTGTTTTTGTTGCTGCTGCTTTTTTCCTATTTTATCACATCACTTGTTGATGTTCTATTCCCCAAAACAGATGTCCCGTGAGGAAGCTGAGGTTTCTGTGCTTTGGTTTGGTAGGTGGTGGCCTTGGGAGACGTACCCGATGGGACGCTGGTCACGGTGATGGCTGGAAACGATGAGAACTACTCTGCAGAACTCAGAAATGCAACGGCTGCCATGAAAAACCAAGTGGCAAGGTTCAACGACCTCAGATTTGTGGGTAGAAGTGGAAGAGGTATGTATCTGTCTGCAGCCGCCGTTCGGTCATCTTTACCTGCTGTGTCCAGCTGCTGTTACGTGGAGAGAATTTAAGTGCTATGTGTTGAGCTTTCTGCAGTAGGGACATCCGAGGACGGTTTAAAAGGTGCAGAATCAGCAGTGTGTTTTTCACGGTTTATTCTTCAATAATTCAACTTTTGTACAGTAAGATCTCATTTTAAGAAAAAAAAAGTCATGGTCAGTGAGGCTCACTGTGACTCCAGAATTCTTCCCACCGATTTAGAACAGCACAATATTGCCCACGCTTAAGTTTAAATAACACATTTTCAGTTTAAAACAACAATTCTCAAAAGCTGATCTCTGCAACAGCGTGAGTCAGCCTACATTTACAAACAATTCCCACATGATTCTGAATTTTTTTCAGGCTTTATTGCGACCTGACAAGCATTTCTCTGACCTTTCTTTCTCTGGAGTAGCTGTGGAACTCTACACAGTAGTCATTATTTAATGTATTACTGCAGGGTGCATAAGGGTGGGTTAGGACAGAGCAGAACTAAACAGACGAGTTTAATATTGGCTCTCCGCAATAACTAAGAATTATTGGTACAAATGGAAGGGTCTTAAGAGTGTAAGTAACAAGTCAAAGCTGACTTAGACTGTATTTATATATAACTGTTGTTGGAAAGCTCCCATGTGCACAAGTAGATATCCAAAGCTTGGTCCAAAAGCCCGTAACAGCAACAGAAGGATGCTTCTTAATATCACTCTTTAGCTCAAGCCCGTAATCTTGAAAACCATGGATTTGAAGCAGTCATGTTTAAGTTACGAGTTTATTTGAAGCACTCGTCCTGCATTACTGCCCTTGTTCCCATGAGCTGAGCACCTTGGCCCGGTCAGGGTGGTTAGAGGAAACCCACTGGAGCCAGTGAAATGTTGGTTAGAGAAAGCTCAGAGAAACAATCAGCTAGATTTAAGGTCAAGACCGAAAAACCATTGCATCCTCTGTGTGACTTCATACGCTATTTGCTTATGTATTTTCCTTTTGTTTAGTTTATATCTTCAAGTAAAATCGGAACATAACATCACAGTGTTCTAAAGACAACATTGTTACCTAAGGACAATTCAGTGCTGTAGCATTCACAAATCAAAACGATAGTATCTACAGCGCTTGCGTAGGTTTCTTTATTCCATCTTTCAGAGCATTTTGTGAGCTGCTGTCCGTGACAAGGAGATTGAATAGTCTGGGGTTCACAGACCCCTCCTCATCATTTTCCCCTCTCATGTGGGCACTCCTTAAGCACCCAGGCCATCTTCTAATGCGTGGTGGCACGTGCGGCTCTTACAAGAACGCACTGAGCTACAGGCACACTTCAGGAGAGTTCAAAGGTGACCCACTTCTGCTCTCTCAAAATCTCTTACTCGCAGTGGCAGATGATGGGTCAAGCTTTAGGCTGAGGAAGTCATTCTGATTATACACAACAGCTTCTATTTGCCTTTGAATTCAAATGCATTTGTGGATGTTGTAGTGTAAGTACAGCCTGCAATTTTAGAAGAACTCAGCCCTCTTGAAACGCGGATGCAAGCAGCAGGTACATTTTAAGTGTAAAAGCCCCTTTCGATCCTTCTGCATCCTGTAGCATTTTTAGCTGAGGGTACAAAGGGAGATGTCTTTTAAATTGTGTTGTTTGGGCTGTCTTCAAAATGTACTTGGTGGAAAACACCCGCAGCTGAGAACATAGCTTCGTAATGCTAGCAAAGAATAATAATAGGGTAATGCAGAGAAAATTATATCCATTTACTGAAAACATGAGAGATGCTGTAATGTCTAAAAGTATCAGTCATTAAACATGTTCATTTGTTATATTAAAGGTTCCACCTTTTCAGTAAATGGAATTTGCATTATGATTCAGAGATGACTGTTTAGAAGATTCAAATGAATAGCTGGCAAAGTGGCTGAGAAGCTAATAAAAACAAACCTGTAGTTCAGTTCCTGGCCACGGGAGTGAAGCTAGAAATCATAACAGTGAACTGTGGGATTTTCAAGGTCAAAATTCAGCGGCAGAGGGAGAACAGTGGCTATTCATTCAGCAGGCTTAGCAGAGAGCCTCTCTGAGCCCCTTGCCTGCTGGATGCCGGTGGCTGGAAGCCGTCACTCACGGATGTGTGTGCATGTGGACGTGGATGCTGTGCACTGTGTGACACCCAGGTGCTCGGAATCATTTCAGCCACGGAGTGATTTGGGAGCGCTGCGTGCTGCTAGCCAGTCCTGGAGGTTAAATCTCATGAGCTCCATTGGCTGCCCATCTTTAGAGCCAGTGACTAATGTATGCTTGTGTTTACTCCTCCAACAGGGGATTGTTTTCCAAAGGTGTGGATTGTTTGCATTTGGTACATGATTTCTGAGGTGCTGTTCTGTTGAATTTGTATAAAGCCTGAAGCATAAGGTGGCTGCTTCAAAGGGCATTGCTGCCTTTGATACTTTGGTAGAGGAAAATTAACTGAAACTTTGTTTGCTGTGTAATATTTGAGTTTGAATAAGTTCAGTTGCCACCAGTGATAATGAGATGCCAGGAATATTATATGAATAGCCATTGAAAGTTCACGCTGGTTGCAGTTATAGTGGGCATTATTTGTGTACCTGGGTGATTTAAAATCACTGCTGGAGAGCAAGGAACGACTTTGTCGAGTGACAGTCCTGGTCCATGTCTCTATTTCACAACACATGAGCTCTTGCTCAGGTGTAAAGATCCCCATTAAAATCTCACAGAACTGTCAGCAAGCCAATTCCCTCTCTCTTTTAAAATAAAAGAAAATTGTTGTTCTTGACATTCCTGACAAATAGTTCAGTTTTTCTTCTCTGGGCTTTCAGTGAGGTCTGGCAAGGCAGCCAGCAGTTGCTTCACACGCTCCTGCAGAGGACCATTGTCCTGTCCCAGTAAATAAGTGGCTCCATGGGAGTGTTACAACTCACTCCATCCAGAGGTCTGATCCTGTGCATCTGTGAAAGCGCATCACTGCCCAGGTATCAGCTGCGCCTTAAAGAACCACATGGCATTTCAGCATTGGTTCCATACTGAACAGGGAGCACTGGCCCTGTGCTGTTCAGGCTGTGCCTGCACTTCAGGATTAAAAAAGCACTCTCATTTTTGACACCGAGGATGGGAGCTGAGAATATCACAGGTCTTCCGAAACAGCGAGATGTTGTATGAAAGCAATTTGGCTGGCTTTCCCGAACAAAACAGATTTACATTGGAATTGGCTGGGGTCCAGAATTGCTATTCCTCACCCTGGTTTGAGAATGCTACTGGGAAAACCTGCCTGTCTGGCTTGTAAACTCAAGTAAGTAATTTCTGAAAGAAAAATGTAGTTTAAAACTTCAGCCAATCTCAGCCCCTCGTGTCTGCTTACCTGTTTAAAAAAACTTTTTCTCCCTCCATTCATAAACATTTCGAACTTCAAACTGCTGCTAGTGCAGAGTGCCCTGTTTTTTCAACGTATAAGGAACGAGTTTGTGTTACAATGATAAAATAAATCCAATGCAAAAAGCCCGACACCGTGGAAGTTCATTGGATAAAATTAAAAATAAATAGTTATTTTGGAGAGGGCAAGCCTCATGGCTCAGTAAGCATTACATATTTTCCTCATGGAATCATTAATCCCATTAACTGTCTTCTTTGCAGAAGGTAACAGTAAAAAAACAACAACAACAAATATTTTTTCTAGATGAAAATGATTATTAATAGGTGATCATAATAGTAGCTAATGAGGAGTTGTCTTGGCTTGCTGCAGAAGATCTCAATTTAAAGCTGGAATCTGTAGCTGGAGCTTCACGATATAGCAAGCTTTCCAGCAGGATCCTTTTAAAAACTGAGTTTTGGAAAAGACTGGACATTGAGCCCGCATGTATGTGTTCTGCCCGCTATCGGGATTAGGCTCGTCTGAATAAATTTCACAATCGTTTTCTTTGGAGTTGAAAAAGTACCCCGTTTTCACAGAAGCAGCTGGTAGGAGAGCACGGGAGGCAGATTACCAAGCACAGTCGTAAGTTTCTGCCTCCAGAAGTCTTCCTTCTGGATATAATTTTGGGGAAGAAAAATCAGTTTGAGCTGGAATCTCAGAAATAGTCAAAAGACAAGAATTACTGGCCTGTATCCTGAGTCCAATTATTTTTATTGCTCTTCTAAAGTCAGAATTTTGCTCCTTCTGTGTAGCTTCAGCTTGTGGTTGTGTTATGTAGGCACTTAGTTAAAATTTGTTTTATTTTTACTTAAGCATATTCAAAATTACAAAAGTATGTGCAAAACAGAGGAGGATGCTATTCAGCAGGATCGTAAAATCAGCATTAAGCAGCCACCCGGGTCCGGGTCCAAACCATTGGAATGCTTCAGGGGATGTGGTATCAGATACTGGACTAACGACTCACCATACTTGCCAGGCGGGACAAAAATAGAAGAAACACAGCAGCAATCAGAGCTGAAAAGGAGTCAGTTGGTAGAGCTGAAAAACAACTGGTTATCAATACCTTGGGCCGATGGGTGTGCAGCAGTAGTGGATGTGCCACCGAGAGGTTGTGGCACAGAAATACTCACCGTGCTTTGGTTAGATGTCGATGCGAATCACGGGGCTCTCCTCCACCATCCTGTCTGGCCCAAATGAATTTTTCTCTAAAAGACAGGGACTGGAAGTGGGCATTTGTTTTTGAGTGACAGAAGGGTGCTTGGCTGTGTCACTCGTTTCATCGAGAGCTCTGTGTGAATGGCGTAGCCTTGCCAGCATTCAGTGAGAAAACTCCTGACCCTAATGCCCACGAGTCAGTGCGTCTTTGAGGTCAGTCAGCACGGGTCACAGTGAGACTGCTGAGCAAAGCCAGCCCTTTAAGCACATCTGTTCCCAGCTCAAGCCCTGGACAGAGGCTGGCTGAAGGAGGTGGGGGAGCAGGCTTGCTTATTGCCAGCATCCTGCCCCAGTCATCGTGGGTGCACGTTCGGTACGTGCAGCCGTTTTTCTCTGAATTGC